ATTGTGTGATCTAGTTAACCCCTTAACCTATGATTTCTTTCCTGATTATACATCTAAACGTCAGCCATTTACTGTTTCAGTATCAGATAACAAAAGCCAATCTGTGAAAGATTAATTACATTTAGTAATCCTCAGTCTTGCAAATTAAAACGAAAGTTAGGGTAACAATTAATTCTTCTTACTAATACAACTATTTTTCTCACATCTTCACCAGAATCTCTGACACGAGTCAGACTCGTTGTTATAGGTAAAAGGGTTAATAAACAACGCACTGTTGAATGGTGACTGACTGTTTCCGTTAGAATCCTCAGGCCAACAGGAAGTGCAATAATCTTCAGGTGAGAAAACCTTCACTTACGCGCCGACAGAGGTGTGGACGCGCATTTTTAACGTCAGATTCCAACGTAAACGAAATAAAATTCGGTACCGTCGAGAAATGTCACGGTGAAATTCTCGAGGAAGGAAACGTTTCAACTTTGCCCCGTCTACGATGTTCTACCGTAAATCGATTTCGTTTGTACACCATCGTGGACAGAGAAACAACGTGTATATACTCCGTACGTGCGAATATAGAGAGGGAATAAACGACGATAACGAACGAAAATGAAAAGGAGGAGTTCTATTTGTTTCTCGCGGTCTCGTCTAGCGGTAACGCGCGCCTTTATCGTCGCAGCGATGCGTTTCGCGTCCAATTTTCCGCGATATTGCCACGCATAGCCGTGCACCAAACGGCCCAACCCAGGCGCTCCGGAAATCCTTTTTGTTCGCCACGGATACGCTAATACGCGTCTTGCGCGGCCTTTTTGCCGCAGCGCCGTGCAAAGGGGAACGACGTTTATTGCCTCCTTGGCTCCGTGAATCCCATGCAACCCCCATGAATATTTGTGTTTCGTAAAAGGCGCCGCTCCGGATGATCCACTTTCGGCGAACTCTTTGCGCGCTCTTCGAACCGGCTACGACCCCGCGAATAGGATGATGTTTCGCGAATTAATATCGCAACAGCTGCGGGAGTACGGAAGAAAGGTCTCGTTGAGAAAATGTTGGTTCAATAGTTCGGCAACAGAGAGAATTGTATAGCGTTCTCTGAACGAATTGAAAAACACGACAAAACAGCTTGCTGCATTAACGAGCTCTTAATATTTCCCGTAGCTTTAACCCTTTGAACTCGAAATATTTTGAAAAATTTTATTTTCAATAACTCTTCCTATTATTTTAAGAATTTTATTTGAAATGCACTTCGTAAGACATGTGGTTGGTAGAAAGCAATTTAAACAATTTTTTTTACTAATTATGTTGAAAATAGCATTAACCCTTTCACTACGGCAGATTTGAATGCGTAACGTGGGTGACTGGGGGTAAATTTTTAACCGCGGCTGCAAAATTTCTTATTTTGGTCGTATCGTTTTAAAATTTGATTCGTTAACCCTTGAGCGGTCTTCGTTTCGACTGTACACTTAAGACTTTTGGGTGAAAAAGGACCTAAGACCTTATGTGTAATAATTTTTGTTTCCAACGTTTAAAATAATGTTAAGGAACGTAAACTTGATAACAGCGAAAATTACTGAAAATATAAAAAAGCGGTGGGTCAAAAGAGACCCGAAGACCGCTCTAGGGTTAAATTAAGGTGGAAATGCGGAAATGATAAAATTTAGTATCAAATTAAGGTGGAAGTGCACCGAAAGGCTTCAACAGTATAGTGTGAGCAAATTTTCAAAACACCTATAGGCGCCAGTAGTAACGAAAGGGTTAAGGGTCATATATATGCGTACCTATTGCTCATCGAGGTAAAAAAAAATATCGCAAAATATAATACATATTTAAACTGGCAATTTAAAAATTACTTCGTTCGTACCTGCGTATAAAACTGATGTCGAGTCACACTCGACAAAGGAGTCCAAACGATTAAGACCGGTGATTTTCTCGAAAATGAAAAAGAAATATAGGCAATTAAAAATTCACGTCTTCGTTGAACTTGTAATTAATTATACAAAGGTAGCAATATTTGTTTGAAAAAATAAGTCTGGTAATTCCGCAGAGTACGATATTTTCGAAAGGAAATTCCTTTATGTAGAAAAATACGAGGAATCTCGTAAGCTCTCCTTTAAATATTAATATTCAGAGTCACCATTTTGGTTTGGGTAAGGATGGAGAGAATCGTTTTATTCATGAAACGTTCTTTAACGGATTAAAGATTATAAAAATTATTAAGCGAATTGAAAAAGCTCGGTGAAACAGCATTACCATGAGAGAGAATGAGAGAGAGAGAGCAGCCTGTATACAGAAACTGTATCTCTATGCAGAATTTTCAAGTCTCTTTGTACGTTCAATAATTTCAAGGAAGGTAGCGGGAAAATGGAACTTGGAGAGTAGTTTTATCCCCCAAAAAGCGTGGCCCCGGTGTTGGAAAAAATATGAGTCCCTTAAGACTCCGTCTACTCCACAAATATTCAAACTTTTGACGTGAAACATATTACGAATGTTTCCTGCTAAGGCTACTGCTTCCGTTGAATCCAGAATTTACATCCCTCTGTAGAAGAATATCCTGATATCTCTATGAAACAAACAAACAAACAGATCCTTTAATCGATCTCGAAGGACTGCACGATTTATCTGAGGGAAAAACGGAGATACCGTGGAGAACACTTGGGCGACAAAAGGTTCGAAACGAAGCGAGAATTTAGGCGAAGAGGACGATTGGTTCTGTACAAAAGCCGGTAAAACGAGAGGGAAAGTCTGCTCTGGGAAGGACACGATTTATCGCTAGAACGATCAGTCGTTGCATCGTACAAGTGAGACGATTCCATTTTTCCATTTACCATCAAGCCACCAACCCCCGTACTACCTCGCGTCTATCACCGCGAACCGTTGTCCCCGCGAACATCAACCCCATCTCCGTTTCCGGTTTCGACGTCCGCCGGGATCGTCCGGTTGCTGCTGCTGCCGCGCTCGTTCGTTTTGGTTTCGTTAGTTCGTTCGAGCCGAAGCACAATTGCTTCGTCGTGCATGCGCGGCCGAAGAGAGAAGCGGCTCGTGAAAGTTGCATGAATGGAATGAAAGAAACGGCGAGAAAGAGAGGGGACGAGTGGGAATTGGGTGGATCGACGAGGAGGTTCGCGGAGGTGGGGAACGGGCAAAGGGAGACAGAATGATAGATGTCTGGATAGATAGATGGATTGTGTGGTAGGTGCGACAGGAGTAAAGAGAGAGAGAGAGAGTGAGGAGGGAAACGTTTGGTACAAATAAATCAGCCGCTAGACGAATTTACTCGAACGCGATTGCTTGTTGCCGGTGGTGATAATCGTGGCGCCAGGAGATACTTCGCGAAGTGAGTGGTTCTAGAGGGTGTATCGCTGGTGATTTCGGATGATCGAGAACCAAAAGAGATAGAGAGAGAGAGAGATGGAAGGAGGACGAAATCCGTGGATGAAACTAAAATGGGTGTTGGGAGAGAAGCCAAAGGGGGTGGCAAAAGAGGGTTTGAGGGAAAAATACGAGTTTGCTGACGCGGCCGGCAACGGGCCGTTCTAATTCGCGTCGATTCGCGCGCGCGAGCGAGCGGGCGCTTGCACAGCCGCCGCGTTGTTCCTGACAGCTTACACGTATATGTGGAGATTTGAAAATAAAACCGTCAGTCGGAGAAATTTCCTACGTACGGGCCGACGCGATACGATCGAGCAGACGCTCGTAAACCGTTAGTTTCAATCAACGGGGGTAAATGGTTTTCTATCCGAGCACACCGTGCTCCCTCTCTCCTCTCCACTCCTCTACTCTCTCGGCTCTCCCTACGTCCTGCTCCATTTCTCGTTCCCCGCTATACTGTACCGACCTAGCGATACCGGAGGGGGGCCGCCGCGCGTATAAAGTGAAAATCTCCGAGCCGGTTCAATTTGCTCTCGCGGACCACCTCCGTAGCATTGGAATTCCGTACCGCAACGCTGACGCCTAGCACGGCGAAAAATTCATCGCGTCCCGAACGTGTGCCGTACGGACAGCTCGATTATAACGCGGAGAATCGAAGACTCGGACTGTTTCGACTATTGTTTCCCAGGCGGGTAACGCGATTTTCGTCGGAATGTGCTCCGGTGAAAAGTCGAGGCTTCGAAAGCGGCGAGCGTAAATTGTCAGATACGCGGGGAAATTTCTGGAGACGGTGTGAAATTTTTGTTAATAGCGTCTGAGACATAAATTCCGTATGTACGGTGTCACACTTACGAGGAACGTCCGAATTATTTCCGCTGATATTGAAAGTAAGAAAAAATCGTTGAGGGAAGTTTATATGGTAAAAAAAATTTCTCCACAGCTTACTTTTGAAGGTCGTTCTAAGGTCATCTACATTTCCTTGAATACTAACATATTTTTTCAACAACCTATGACATTATCACCTTACTATTTAAGGTGACTTTTATTATTTAACACCCATGTCTGGGTGACGGGTATGCTTCCGTGGGGGTCCCGTCACCCAGATATGGGTGACGTTCTTCTTCGTCAAGTTAAATAGGATTTCACAAGTAATTTATAAAAATCCATATAACACAAGAATTTAATGGAATATCACACTATATTATACTATACATTAATTTATATTTAAAATAAAATACAACATTGTACTACGTAGCATGGTATTCGTTAAAACAGTTCGAACACATTTCTGGTGATTTGGGGAAATTGGGACAATATGTTGTCGTCTTTTTTACATTTTACATTTCGAGAATTTGTCTCTTCTTCTGATAACATTTACGTTCTTGCGCTCCGACTATCGGATTTGGGCCCCGCGAGAAACTCGACCGATTCACGCTGGGCGACGAACGTAGAGTGACCTTTTTTTATCATTATCATATACCAAAATACCAGAACCAGCAAAAATAATTTAGACGTTCGTTGTAAGTGAAACAGACCTTGCGACTGGATTTTCAGGGTAAATAAGAGAATAAAGTAGAGGAAAGGTTGTGTGTGTGGCAAGTACACGAAGTGAAAGGAACCGTTTGTTTGTCTGGTTTCAGGTGATTTCTCGTTGCACATCTACCCGGTGGAACTGGAGGACGACGGCACTTACCAGTGCCAGGCCTCGCCTACGAACGACGGGCAGCCGGCGTTGCGCTCGAGATTCGCCAAGCTGAGCGTGCTGGTTCCGCCTCAGAAGCCGAAGATCCCTCAGGGCGACTTCCTTATCACGACCGAGGACCGGGAATTGGTGATCGAGTGCGTCAGCGTGGCTGGCAAACCGCCTGCGGAGGTAAGACTCTTCCACCCCCCCACCCTTTTGTCTTTTGCTTTGAATATCGATTGGACCGGATGGTAAGAAGTGGAAGATTGTTCCGTGGATTTACGAACACCGCCCCGTAGCGAGCAGTTTTCCCTGGGAAAGATAAAGGGGAAGAGAACTGGTAGGAGTTCGAGTGTATTTCACCAACAATGTATAAATATATGTATAAAATAGCGAATGAATTATTCCGTTGAAAATTGCAACGTGATAGAAACTCGTAGATAAGAATCGTTATATTTTCTGACAAACTCTCGCGATATATGTACTTCGTACTTTTCCGCATTTTCTCCGAAAATACTCGCTTCCCCTATGTACGCGTAGAAACATTAATAATGCAATCACTTCGTCGTAGTATTATATCCGTAAAAGAAAGCCTTCTAATGTTCAATCATGGTACCTTTCACGAGACCTCGATCTCATGCAAAATTCTCCTAGAAGAAATTCGCGTAAATCCCGGGTCTCGGAAGGAGCGCTCGACAAGGAAAGTAAGGGACCCACCCGTGGCCCCGTCCATAAAATAAGGGAACTAATTTAAAAGCGGAAAGAAAGCGCTCGGCAACGTAAACGCGCTTGAGCCCGGGGGCCGCAATAACGCGTTAAACCGCATTACACGGCGGACACATAATTACCGGGGCAAAGGCTTTGTCCTTTCCACGGAGCGTTCATAAAGGGTGTGTTCTCTCTCTCTCTCTCTCTCTCTCTTGCTCTATGTGTACGCCGAAAAATCTTCTCGAAACCGCCTGGAGGAGGTTGAAGCCCGTGTTCGTCGTGTAACCAGCCACAGGCTGCGATACCTTTTGATGGATGTTTTGGCGTTCATCTCGCGGCGATGACGGGGCCGCCGAAACGCTTTTAAACCAAAAGTGACTCGACGATATGACGGCTTGACCGACTTCGGATACGCTTCGAGGCTCGAATCAGCCGTCGTGCTGGATCACGCGAAAAAAAGGGAACGCGAAATGGGAGATCTTTGAGCGTGTGGTGGCGGTAGTAGTGGTGGTAGAGCAGCCACCGCGTGCATCGCGGGGAAAAACGGGCTTTGGTTAAAAAGCACGGGGGAAAAAGCGGCCACCGCTTCGATCCGTACGTCTTTGTCTATTTACTTTGGGCTGCGGCGTGTTTTTGCGAGAGAAAGAGCGAGAGAGAGAGTACGTGTGTGTGTGTGTGTGCACGGTGAAACGGCGCGGCGCCGCGCCAGAAACACCCTTTCGATTCCGCGTAGACGCGATGACGTTCGAATAATGGTATCATTAATCCCTCGACGAGGTAGCGGCTCACGTTCACGCGATCCGTGCTACCGCCACGACGGAAGGCACCGTCGCGATCGAATTATCGAATTATCGAGCGAGACGGCGAGAAAGGCGATTTGATAGGAGTTAATGCTCTTCGAGGATCCTCCCTGGATAGGGAGAGACCTTCGGGCGTTACACGGAGCAGTTCGATGATTAAAAATTCGATAGGAGAACGCGTGTCTGAAGAAAGTTGTATTATCTCGCGTGTATATCTAGAATTTTATCTTGACACTACACGCGTCACTGACAGCGTGTCCGCGAGTCCGTTTTGTTCCTGCAAACTGGAGAGACAGTATCTAGCGTTGCGATCTTCTGTAGCGTTGATAGCTACTTGGAAATGCAGTGGAAACGTGGTTTTTTTAAGTGAAACTTTGGATATATTCTGTTTTTTCAAAAAATCGTGTATTTGATCGAAATAATTACTGTATGATTCTATACACTTTTCTCAAAAATGAACTAATTTCATTGTTCCAAAAATTCTTTCGGTGCTGCGTTTACAGTGTCTTTATTTAGATATAATTTATTTGATAAAAAAATTGTGCATTTTCAATAATTTTTCTTAAAACGATATCCTTCATCTTGACTCCAAAGGACACCAAAGTTGAATTTTGCACACCAACGTTAAAGGGACCTAACATTTACATAATCTTTTACCACAATCTTTCCGAGTTTAAACTTGCACAAAAGAATCGTGCGAATATCCCAAATATTATTCACCACATCAGATAATATCCATGCAGTTCTATTATCAATTCTTTTTCTGTTCAATACACATGTGCTACAACAGATTCCTTCTTACCATTCATGATTCGACAAAATGTAATATATACAACCAAAAAAGTTAAAAGAAGACACTTCATTTCCACCAATTTAACAGAAGAAATTTGTCCCCTAAGAAAATAGAAGAAAAATAAACCCATTAAAAAAAAACCACAGTGAAACCTTACAGAGCGCGAGTAAATATACTCGTGTAACGCGGAGAGTTAATTCACAATTTTTGCCTCCGCTGTGAAAACCTTCCAGATTGCAATTAAAAAACGAAGAAGCGAAGGGAACGGTAACGAAGGTTCATTGAGTTTCAGTTTTATCCCGCAGGCTTATTGAATCGCAGCATCGTCGTAATAAAGATCGGAGCCACGAGGGAGGGCGAACGATATCGATGATGCGGCGATAATGCGCCGGCCGATTCGGCGACACCGCGAACAATTTCGCGGCGAAAAAAAAACTAATTCAACGTTCGCCTGGCCACGATTGTACGTCGCGTTAACACAGACAATCCGTTTTCGATGCGCAACGTCGATCCTACACACAAACCGTCTCCCCCTTTCGGCCTAGATAAATATAACGAGCCGCCGGGATTGGGTAATGTCGTCGTCGTTGTCGTTGTCGCCGCGGTGGTAGGGAATCGAGCCGGCGCGGCGGTACCAGCTGAAAAATTAATTAAATTTGTTGTTTCGCGGCTGTTCGCGGCGCGACGCGCGGTTTTTAATTAAAATTACGCGAATCCGCTGATTAATGCCGTTACACAAGGATTCCCGCGTGAATGGCCTCCGCCTGATGGGAACTCTTCTCGATACGTACGAACACAAACATTTCCCCACTCGATTCAATCACGCAAAGCCACACCGTGAAATCTCCCGCCCCGCTTCTGCCGATCCGAACGATTTACCCACGGGTTCCCGAAACTTTCTTTTCCCCGGGAACGTTTCCCTAGCAGACCACCGATGTGTGCACACGTCTCGCGAATCTCCTCGTAGGCAGCAAACGAGATTCAATTATCACCGGGTGGGCACGTTATCGTTTGCTCCGACCGTTCCCGTTCGATCGACATTTCTCCACCTTTATAAACATTATCCCCCGTTCACCGATCGAGTTGCGGCCTCTCTGCCCTCGTCTCTCTACACAGACCAGATGACCCTTTGGTTGTTCTCTAGCACGGCTGAAATTACCTCGAACGATCGGTAGAAATTTGGAAACTGTCGCCGCCCCCCTCGAACGAACTCTCGCGGCGATCGACCACGGTGTTACGTGGCACGTAAATTGAGAAGGCGATTGAACTTGCGGTCCGATGTATCCGTTACACACCGGTTACGAGACATTGTAGCCGTGTTCTCCTATCGTTTCTACTGTATACAGTTTCGACGACGGTTAAGTGTTACGTCCAACGGATTATTTTTCAATTTTCATTCGGGAAAAAGGAGTGTACGGGGAGGGGAGGGAACGGCAAGGTATAACAGGTATCGACAACGGATATTTATTGTTCGCGTGTCAAAGATCGTTCAGTGACCGATCATTCTCTCTGTCCCACCCCAAGCGGGACCCTTTTCTTTCACAAAATGCCACACGCTCGCTCTGATACGCGATTGGAAGTTATTTAGCCGGCGCGCCGGTGAAACAAGGAAAACGCGTCGCGCAATATGTATAGGGGTTGGATCGTATAGAGGAACGGTCCATTGCAGCGGAACGCGTGACTTCCTGAAAACCATGACCAGCGATTTTATCCACCCTCTCTCTCTTTTCGCCGCTCGAAATCCCCGTTTTGGTTGCCTGCGGGGTGAAAAAATATCATTGGCCTGCATACGGTACGCGGAAAGATAGTTATTCTCTGGTTTATGTTACGCGGAAAAACAACCGTTCCCTCGCGCCGCGATCACTGTGCAACCCTCGATCCAATCCTCCTCGTGCATCAGAGACGGATCGACCACTGGAAAGAGACAGAAATAAAAGCGAAGAGAGACACGAGCGAGGGAAGAAGAATGCGGAGAGAGGAAAGCGAGGGAATGTAATCGACGACCGAGTGACGCGTTCCGATTCGTTGTAATTCGTCGATGACGTGCGGTCCTCCGGCCATACGGCCAGGGAAATAATCGTGAAAAACCGCCGCAAAATTCCGGCCATTGTTCGACCGTTGAAAGCTTCGCGGTGCCGTGCAAACGCTCCTGGATTGGTCCATGCGATAGCACGAGTCGCTGCTCCGCAGCTTGCACTTTTATCCTTTTTTTTTTATCTCTCTCTTTTCCTCTTTTTGTTTCGCTGGAGGAGAGAGGAAAGAATGCACTCTCCATCTGGCGAGTATCGCGGCGAATTTTCTCGAGTCGCGGAAACCGTGGAGGATCGCGTCGCAACCACCGCACCGCGTCAAGATGATGATGCCGGGTAACTACTGGTGAACCATGGGGATGACAATGGTCGTAGTTGTCCGTCGAGTGGCGTTTCGACGAGTGACAAGAGTAATTAAAAAAAAAGAGGAGAATAAAATGGATAAAGCTGATCGGCGAAATAGCTGGCATTTGTTCTGCGTTGCTGGAACAATCGCGATTACAAATAATGCTCTGGTATAACTTAACCGACCAGATCCTTGATTTGATATTCCGGAATAATTTGCATGCCGCGACTTGTACGGCCTCGTGAATTATTTTTACTTGGAACGCGATAACGCGGTCCGGTCTTTTGCAAACGGGCCAAGGAATTCGCTAGGTGGGCAAGACACGACAGTTAGGAAAAGAAGAAGACCAGTTTCCTGTACGACGATCGCCGTTTGTAATTAAAAACAACCGGTTCTTAATAAACTTGGCGCGAGAATTATTCATTCGAACCGGTCCTCGCGCATCTCCTCGGGAAGCTCCGTTGAAGCGTCGACTTGATGGAACCGACGTCGATACAAACACATTACAAACT